TTGAAATATAACTGCAAAATGGCATTTTCTCTCTGGCTAAGTTTGCTTAGCCAAAGAAGCGGACAAACATTTAGATTTACTTCGAAGCTTTTACCACTGGAGCTGAAATAAATGTTGATGATGGAGAAAATTATTTTACTGACTATGGTAAAAGCTTAGTAATGGCATTAGTCAATACACTTTCTGTGCTTTGAAAAATTTTTGAAAGATTTGCAGTGCAGGACAAATAGTTGTGTATTCTCAGCCAACAAATTTTCATGAGCAAACATCAAAGAATATTCCTATTTTTACTTCCTCGTGCGATGTAAAGGAAGTATTGTAATCAGGAAACATTCCGAACACCATATTTCAACGAAAATATCCGTTTTGACCACAGTGAATGCAATTGAACGATGTTTTTGCGGGACAGTCTCTACGTAAGGACAGAATAAAGGGGTCCCCACAAACAAATTATAAAACTGATTTAAAATAGCTTCTGACGACATTTCTTTCGTGGCGTCTGTACGTATCTCTTACTCAAAACCGAGTACCCTCCGAACTTTATATTTGACCGCTATAACATGTAGTTGTGCACCTCCATTTTTAATTGCAATCGGCCGCATCAAAAGTATATAATCAGGCCGCATCAAATATATATATATATATATATGTATACGTACTCTGTAACTCGGCTCGGTGAGCTCAGTTTTTTAATACTTATATGTTGGTAAATTATGCATTCTTTGCTTAAAATATGATGGAATTATGTTGTTCTTATCCTCTGCTTTGCGTTTTGATGTCTTTTGTTAATCGGCATGCAATATTTGTAGAATTATCAACAATTTAAAAGTTGTTAAAGTGCGGCTAAGCCTAATTTTTTTTATTATACTAGTCATATTTGTTTACATTTGAAACGCAGCAGAACAGTGAATTAAACCTTTCTGCAGCTTCAGTGTCATTTCACCGATTAGGATCAAAACGAAACATTTAGTTTTGTGCACCGAAAATTCTGCCTTCTTGCCTGTCGGCCGAATTACTTCTTTTTGCGTAGAAACTGTAATTTTAATTGTAAAAATCTTTTCTTAATTGTTTTAACTGTATTTGGTGCTTTATGTTTTTTTTGTATCTTTCAATTTTGAATGAAAACATTTTGAGTTTTTATGTATTCTTGCCTTGCCGCGAAGTGAGAACTTTATTAATTGAATGATAAATCTATCTCTAATGAAATTCAAAGAAATGTTTAAATGAAATTCAAGAAAAAATGCGTATAATTTAATACTCCGTACAAGCAAATCAGGTGGTGTACACATGAGCTTTCTAAAAGCTGATGTGTACACCACATGATTTGTTCCTGGGAATATGTTCTTGGTAATTTCTGGGTTTCCACGTGAATATGTTCCTGAGAATTATTATACATCTATCATTTACAAAAATAAAGCATTAGACTTGTTATGAAATTTTACAAGCAACGTTATCTAACCACGTATAAGGATTGTTTCCATGATTTTAAAGGGAGTTTCAATTCTGGGGGGGGGGAGGAACTTCATAGTTACAGGGAGTAATTGAAAGCTTTTAAGTTTTACATTATGCTCAAAGAGGTGTCTAGAAATCCTAATCTGGAATTCCTTTTATTATCGATTTCATATTTTGTAACAATTTAACGAATTTTTGATTAACAAACTCGACGATTTTATAGCGAGCAACGGCCGCATTGTACGGGAAAAAAATCTGAAAGGTTTCAGATTTTAAAGTACGTCCAAAGGGGAGTTTTTAACGTTTTGTGTGTTACCTCTATTTATTAAATATCATGTTCTTCGCACTTAAACAATAGAATTCAAGAATTCAATTAAATAACAATATCGCAAAAATAACTAATAATTTTTAAATGAGCATATCTTTAGAATTCCCGATACAGTGTATCGCGCGCTGAAGATAGAAATGTTTTTTTTTTTCGTACAGTGTTGTCATTGCTCGTTTCGAAATCGTTGAGTTTGTTAATTAAAAATTCGTTAAAGTGTTACAAAATATGAAATCGATAATAAAAAAAATTCAAATTAGGGCTTCCAGATGCTCATATTCGGTGGACGATTGCGTTATTCAAAATTGGATGGCTCTAGGTACCGTTGTTTTATCACAATGCGAGAAACACATATACATTTATGCAGATTCTTCATTATTTAATTTTTTTAAGTATAACACAGGGCGATAATATTTGGTGGCAACAATTTAAAAAGTGAAACAGACGTTTAAAGTTTTCAACGCAAAATGCCAAAACGAAATTTTATGCTTCCCTAAATGCCATTTGGGCTAAAATATTACCTTTCTTCACGTTTTGATATATATCAACATTTTTTATACTTTTGTTCAATTAATGAAACACGTTAAAAATGATAAAGGCATGCATATTTTTGAAGTTTTGGAAAGAAAGAGGGAAGCGAACTTCTATCAGTGGTAAAAAGTGTTGTATGCGGCAAATACGTTGAGAACTCCGTTTCAAAGCTTACATTACAATTAAAACACTTTTACCATTCTGGGACTTAAATTTCTTCTACTCATTTTACCTCCCCCCCCCTTTTGAGGACTTTCTTTGGTGTCATATATTTGCCTCCTGCAACGTCAGTTCAAGGTACACTACTCAAAACCAAAAAGGCAGATTTCTAGATCTCCCGTTCTACTGGGCCCATTGACGGGATTCAAATTGCGTTTCCCATATATCGAAAGCACGACTTGGGATATATATTAGCTTTGGGATATATATTCTAAGTCGGGGGATACAAGGCTAGTCTTTGGAGATAGCATTGTTTTAACGTAAGTATTTTAACACAAAATCGGACTTTTTCTGAAATAACATATCGATTTTTTTTTCCATATATCGATTCTGGAACCAATTTATGCCTGGATATCAAATTTTGTAATTTTTAGTGAAAACTTTATGGAGATATTTAAAAATTTTTCTTGCGCATTTTTTCACCTTGCGCCAAGAATAATTCCCTTGGCAAACTTCTTAATTAACAACAACCTATTTTTCTTTCCTGTTTCCTTTGTAAAGGAGCGGAAAAGTAGTCATCTTTCGTACTTTCAAATAATTTTGACAAAACGCGTAAATCACATTTGGCGTTATATTCGCTTATAACAAATATGCCAACTTTCAAACGCGCCAATATATATTAATTCACGTATATCTTATGAAATTTTGAATAAAAAAACTAATTTTTTTTAAGTATGCTTAGAAATACATCTACTTTAATGGTTACAATTTTATAAGTTGTAATTCCAATTTTTTTTTCGAAAAATTTATAAAAGTATTTAAAAATACAAATTTAAAAAATAAATCATAAAGTCTGTGAGAATTATATTTGTATTGAGCCTAAATTTCGAATTCTGGAAGAAGGAATCAAATTAAGATGTCAAAAATTAAATCATCTTTAAAAATGTCAATCGGCCCAGTAGACCGAGAGATATAGAACTGTCCTTTTTTTTTTTTTTTTTTTTTTTTCTCGCAGTGTACCTGAAACAAATCACCGTTTACAGCATCATCTGGGGCGTAGAATTCCGATTACTGTGGATAAATAACCTAATCGCGATTTGGCGACCTCTCTCTGTACTACAAATTCGTTTAATACTTAAACTCAGCGTAACTTGCACTCTAGTGATGGTCGATGAAAGGAGCAGAAGAAAATTAATGTAAAAATAATGTGTATATTGAAATAAACTTTACAATACAATGTGTTTAAGAGCTAAGAACATAAAAATTAAATATACATTTCTAATTTTATATCTTATCGAAAATGATTTTACATGAACATAAAATTTGTGAACACATGACTATTAAGGTAACCAAATTTCAAGAATAGTGCTTAATGCATAAAACCATTTAATAAATACTTAAATATTACTAATACTAATGATCAAAACTAATTATAATACTAATGATTAATTTATAACAATAATAATTTATGTTAATACTAAGTAATAATATAATAATTAATAATTTATAATAATAATTAATAATAATCAACTTGTTACAACTATTTCAGTGGACTCTATTTTCAAAAACACGTTATTTAATTTGATTTAGAAAACACTCATGGCACTTTTTAACTCTATTCTCTCAGACCGTCAGAATCCAAAATCTAAAAAAAAAAAAAAGTCGTCTGCGATTTCCATTGGCAACTTAAATCATTTTCTTTTCTTGATCTCGCTGCCACAAAAGCGCTTATAATTAGTTTCGAAACATTTCTTATAGGGTAATTATAATTAGGTACATATTTCCAATCTTATATCTCATCGAAAATTATTTTACATGTGGCCGCATGAGCATAAAAGTTGTGAAGCTGAACTATTAGAGAAACCAAATTTCAAGAAAGCTGCGTAATACATAAAACTGATAATAAGTACTTTAATACTAAATAATACTAATAATTAAAACTAATAATATTTTAATACTAGAAGATGACTACTTTAGTACTAGAAGATGAATAATAATAACTTTCAAATCTGAAAGAGGAATATACAAAACAAAATTTGAGGCTGAAAAGAATTTTTAAGATTAAAATTGTTTTTTATGATAAAATGAAACTGTGCGAGCATAAAATGCATCTAGATATGAATACATGCAAAATGTCTTATAAACCTTAATTTTCTCCAAAAATGGGAAACTGCTTTTACGTTAGATTTTAAAGAAGCAGATTATCACGAAAACAGAAATTAAGAAAAAATAATGCAAGGTATAAAATCACACATTTTATTTTTCAAAATATTGTTTCCAATCAATAAAAGAATTACGCACATTAAGTTGTAGTTACGCAAAATTACTTCAATATTACCATGCTTTTTTAAGCCATTAGCTTATAGCTGAACGTGCTGCCATCTAGTGGCAGAGCGCTACGGTACTTGTCCTAGCAAAATCAAAGCGAAAAACTTTTCTTTCCCAGTTTCTAGCAGCATAAAATTAAAGCAACTTCTTTTATTTGCTGTTCGTATTTTGTATTTCTTCATTAAAATATAATAAATAATTTTAGAGAATTTATGGAACTGGTGCACTTTGCCCCAGGCTTCAAAGAACTTCTTAACAGTTCCCAAGAAAAGTCTTTGTTTGCTCCAACTAACGAAGCAATTCGCCATCTTCCACCTGAAACTATAGGCACCATCAAGACTAACATCACTGCCATTACAAACGTAAGCTATCTTCAAATATTTTTGAGTTCTTAAACGCCAAATGAAATTTTGTTGCAAAATTTTAGTGACTGTTAGCGGCAAAATCATTTTACATTATACTGTTGCATTTCTTTACTTATACAAGATATTTTAGTACTATTCCGTTTTGAGGACCGTAAAATATTGCAGTGAAAATGTATGCGCAAAAGCGCCAAATCTAGCTAACGCGCCCAATTAACAGCGCGTCAAATCTAGCGTACGCACTGATTTCAGATTGCGTAAGTTTATATAGTTCTATATTTCTCAAGATGCCATTGAAATACTAGTTTAATTTTAAATCTTTTTTAATATACTATGGATTTTTTACAATTTGGGAATTGCCCGTGATGAAATGTCTGCAATAGAATTTTGGGTAAAGTGCAGAATCACTTCCTGCTTGACGCGTTTTTAAGAATTGCACATACTCGGTGTCCATGTACACATCGACCTATTTTCACTTTAAAAAAAATCCCAGAATGGCCATCCAAAAATGGCACTACCCTTGACTTTATCTATTTACACATCGACCTATTTTAAGTTAAAAAAAATTCACAAAAATCCGATTGTTTTTACCCTTGTAAAAAGCGGAAAACAAATAAGTGGGCGATTCTGCACTTTACCGAGAATTTTTTCAAAGAAAAGGAATCATTCATTAGAGAAAATTACGTTTGAACAACCAACGAGATGAAACTATGCTTTAGCGATAACTCGGTAGCGAAATAGCGATGCAGGCATCCATTCAGTTATGTTTACCAATTTTTGTATAAATTATAATAATGATCTGAAATAGTTATTTACTCCTGTGCTTCCATTCAGTCATGTTTAGCCTTTTTTATATAAATTATAATAATAAAAAAGTATTATATGAAATTAACCTTTCATCTAAATTAAAACATCAATCTTAGATAGTTATTTACTATTATACTTCCTTTCTTGCGTTAGGGTTGCCGCAATTATTTTTGGCAGCACTGGCATCAACAATAGTTTGGCGATTTTTTATGGTCCACAAAACCAAACAGTACCGATATTTTTAATGGCAAACAATTCGAATTAAAAAATAAAATGAATTAAAATTACAGTGTCTAACAAAGTGTTCGCATGCTTTAAGAATTTGCAGAAAATGCGCTGTAACCCGGAACTGAATTCGAATATAAAGCCAATATTTTTTTTCATATCATCGTCACGTGACTTTAAATAAAATCAAACTCTTTAATTTTTAATACTGAGTTTTTTTTAAATTGAAACTGAAAGGAGGTATAGATGAAACACGCCACAAAAGTGATGGTACGCCGAAGCATTTTCGAAAAATTTTCTAAATAATATTATCGTCTACCACTTTGTTTTTATTTTTGTATTTTGGTGACTTAAAAAATTGTTTGGCTTTATTTTTTTGCTTGCTTACTTCGTTATCAGCTCAAAGGGCATTAGAAGGGATATTAATTTCTTTTTTTCATTTTGCGTTGGTTCACTACACAAATGTCGGTCCACTTTTCAAATTGTTGCCACCCAATATTATCGCCCTGTGTTATATTTAAAGAAATTAAGTAATGAAGAATCTGCATATATGTATGTAAGTTTCGCATTGTGATAAAACAACGGTACCTGCAGCCATCCAATTTTGAATAATGTTATCCTCTACCGAATATGGGCATCTGGAAGCCCTAATTTGGAATGTAAAATTCGTTTTATTATCGTTTTCATATTTTGTAACACTTTAACGAATTTTTCATTAACAAACTCAATTATTTCAAAGCGAGCAATGGCAACACTGTACAGGGCAGAAAAAGCATCCTCTTTTCCACCGCGCGAGACTGTGATAGCATCAAATTCTAAACATATGCTGTTTTTAAATATTTTGTGATATTGTTGTTGAGTTGAACTTTATGGTTTAAGTGGGAAGAGCATGAAATTTAATAAATTTTAATAAATAAAGTTTATACAGAAAAAGTTAAAAAAATCGCTTCTTTTAGCGTATTTTTTTTAATTTTATTTTCAGTTAAGATGTTTATATCGAATTTAATTTGGTATTCATATGTCGAATTGTATATCCTGTCTTACTCAGCCGACTTAAATTGAAAATAATTACCGTAAGATTTTTAAAGTTTTGGTCTTGTTCATAATTTTGATAGTACAGTTTTAATTTTTTTCGATGTATTCCGGCCTGCATAGTTTTAAAGCTTTTATATATTATTTTTTATCATTTTTAATGCATTGGATTGCATTAAAAAATTATAAAAATTATTTTATTATGTATTGGATTGCTTGCATTCACATGTTTTGCTTTTTTGACTCTGTGTGCTCAAAATAAATGTTTTAAATTTTTTATCTCTTTTAATCTTGTGATTTTGATACAGTACTTTTATTATTTTTTTCACTACTTACTATGGCCTGTAGGGGTCGAATTCATGATGACACAGATTACTGAGATTATTTTAAGTATTAGACTTTTAATTTCTGTCTTTGTTAATTCAGAAACAGGCTGATGTATTTCTTTCTTTCTTTGCACCTCCCCTGATGATGATGATGCAGCGAAAGATGTAAATTTCTTTCCTCGTTTTTGGTTTTTGTATTTTTGCCCCTTTTGTGTAGTTTGCCACTGTGCTTCTTTCTGCACTTGTTTCATTCCGAATTGAATGTAGGATGGATTTTAAACGTAGTAGTTATTTAAATTTATTTTTGCATTATCGCCACCACTTCTTGTTCCCCTTTTATCCTATGTGTATGTGTGAACTGAAACTGATAAAACTCATTTTTAGAAAAATTAACTTTAATATATTTATCAAAGCCTTTTTTATGTATTTTAGTTACTGAAGCTTCATCTGGTGATGAAAAGTATCTCCACGGATGACGTGCTGTATGGACGATACAGAGAACATGTATCGGCTGACAATAGAAACAGTCTGTATTTTCGAGTTTTGGGAGATGAGAAGAACAAAAGTAAGTTCATTGCATTTTTATTATCTATTTGAAAATAATATTAAAAAAATGCGCATCAGATTGATGCGCATCAGATTGATGCGGACACCATATGACATCCTTGTACGGAATATTAAATTATACTCATTTTTTCCTGCATTTCATTTAAACCTATTTCCTCGAAATTCATTAGAGATATGTTCCTCATTCAATTAATTCAGTTCTCACTTCACGAAAAGGCAAAAATACATAAAAACTCAAAATATTTTCATTAAAAATTGAAAGATATAGACAAACATAAAACAATTTAAGTTAACCCCAGTTAAAACAATTTAAGAAACATTTTTTACAATTAAAATTAGAGTTTCTACTAAACAACAAGCCATTCGACCAGCAGGAAAGAAGGCAGATTTTTTCATGCACAAAACTATGTTTTCTTTTGGTTCCACTCGCCAAAAAAACAATGAAGATACAGAAATGACTTAATTCACTATTTTGCTATGTTTGAAATGTAAAAAAAGTATAGCTGCTGTGCTTTTAAAAAATTAAGCCTATCCGCACTTGAACAATTTTTAAATTGTTGATAATTTTACAACTATTGTATGCATATTAACTAAAGGCATAAAATCCTTAACTGGAAGATAAAAACCACATTTAATGCGACATGCACAATTTACCAATATATAAAAATAAAAAACTACCTCACTGATCCGAGTAACAGATTGAACAAAGTGCTTATATATATATACACGTTTGGTGCGGCTAAGTGCAACAAAAAAGGCAGGTACACAACTACATGTTATAGCCGACCTATATGCAAAATTTCAACGTTCTGAGGCTTTTCGTTTTTGAGTTATGCGACATACATACGAACTCCAAATCTTTTCTGAGGTTACTATTTTACTGTAGCGCTAAACTACTGCCTGCCTTCATAGACTGCCATAGGAGTGTCGCTGCTACAAGATCTTATTTGCGTCTATGAAATGCATGTGTAGATATATAGGTACTAAACCTGGCTGTCTCTTTACGAGGTAAGACACCTTACAAAAAAGGCTAATGTGTCACCAACCCAGGAACCAAGTAAGTGTGAAATTAAAGCGAGTATTTTAGCTTTTATTTTATTTTATTTGTTTTAGAACATTTAGAATTTAGCAGTTTACTCACTCTTTTCTCCAATTTTGCATTAGCCGTTTGAGTTTCCTCCTAGTTATTGAATTGTTTGTAAAATCTAACGCCTGTGTATTCCAATTTCTTGCACTAGGCGACTCAAGACGAAATCCTTCCATATATCGGAATCGAAACATTTATCGGTCCAGTAGCCCCATATTTACAGCTGTCAGTGTCTGCCCAGTTAAAGTGCTTCAAATGACTTGCAGATGGCCCATGTCACATGAAAAAGTGGGACATATAACCGTATTTTATCTTTAGGTCTTTATATATAGCTGAAGTTTGATTCCTGTTGAAGAATAATCCCACCTCTTGTGCAAAATTTCCATCATTCTTATTTTCGTTATTCGTCTCAGATACGGAACTGGGATCTATTCTCCTCCTCTGATAAGTTAGGATTGTTGGCAGCGGATTTAGCTACCTCATCTGCCTCCTCATTTCCAAGAATTCCAACATGTGCGAGAACCCAACAGAGAAGGATTCTGTTAGGGAAAGGTATTCTAACGTCATTCACCAATGTCGCTCTTGTGATCAATTCCTTGAAGACTTGAGGCACTGAATATTCTGGTTCTGGGTGTTAAATTGTTAAGAAAATAAACAACTATAGGGTTTTGGTAGGGAAAGATATTTCCAGAAGTATGCTTCTAACGTCATTCACCAATGCAGCTCTTGTGATCAATTCCTTGAAGACTAGAGGCACTGAATATTCTGGTTCTGGGTGTTAAATTGTTAAAAAAATAAACAACTATAGGGTTCTGTTAGGGAAAGATATTTCCAGAAGTAGGCTTCTAACGTCATTTACCAATGCCGATCTTCTGATCAATTCCTTGAAAACTTGAGACACTGAATATTCTGGTTCTGGGTGTTAAATTGTTGAGGAAGTAAGCAACCGGAGGGTTCTGTTAGGGACAGGTATTCCCTGAAGTATGCTTCCAACGTCATTCACCTATGCCGCTCTGCAGATCAGCTCCTTGAAGACTAGAGTCACTGAATATTCTGGTTCTGTTAAATAACTGCTGTTTACTAAATAACAATAACTGCAAAATTAACGACTGCTGGTACCTTTGCCGTGTTGTTATGATGAAGTTGTCTAGACCAGACATGGTAGACAGTTTGGTTATTCATTATACAATATCCGCATTCAGAATCTTTCTCCGTCATGGAGCCATCTGCATACATATTCAGATAGGTTGAATCAGCAGTCTTATATATACTCTAGGCTGATTGCTTCATCATGATCCGAAGCAGCTGCGTGTCCAAGAGTAACAGGTCAATGATTCCTTTTAGTCCATAGCGTAATAATTCATAATCCACGAAGTGCAGTCTTATAATTCTTGCAATCCGTGTCAGAGCTGCTTCCCTTTTGACTACTAGATCCAGGGGAGGAAATCCTGACAAAACTTGTAAGGCGTCAGTAAAGGTGGTTCACTATTTTCGAGACCAAGAGGAGTTATGTCCTTTGGATCCAAAGTAGCAGCTTCCTCCTATGGCTCCTAAGTCTAGATCCCCAGACAGAGGCTCCATATAAGATTACTTTCTATGTTATGATTCGATAGCAGACTTTCATCATCTCCGAAGAAACATCTCAGTAAGTGTCTGTGATCTTTTTCAGAATATTGATTAAAGAAACCACTCTCTGTTTGATATTCTCGATATATGGTGCCAGCTGCACATATGTAAAACCACGAAAACGTTCAAGAAGTCAGCCAGTTCTTCTGTAACCGAACCCAGGTAGAACCACCAGCGTTCAGCGACTTAACCACTCGGCCGCTTTTAAAGACAAATATTTTGTATAATTATAAATATGAATGATACTTACTTACATTCTTAAAAGGTGTTTTGCGCCAACGTCAAAAACGCAAACTACTTCTTCAATGACTCGATAGCCCTAGGTGGGCCCTGGTCTTCTCCAGACTTCTCTGTACTTTCGCCAAATGTTTTGCAGGTTTAACCTTTAAAATATTGAGATATTTTTCCGTTCAATCAATCGATCTTAGCGAGGGTCTGCCCGGAGGTCGATATCCCATGGGCTTTGCCAGAAAGATTTTCTTGCAGCAACGATCTTCATTCATTCTAGCCAGGCGGCCTGCCCGTCTGTAATTAGACGAATTTTACAATATCAGGTTGTTTGTAAATTTTATATAGAGTTAGAAATTACATCTCCTTCTCCATGATCCATTCACACGGACCCCACAGAGAATGCAATGTAAGATCTTTCGCTCAAAACTTCCCAGAGCTTCCTCGTCACGTAAAGTCAATGCCCAACTCTTTGAAGCACAAGTCAAGACAGATCTTAAAAGACTTCTGTAAAGAAGCAACTTAATTCTTAATTTAAGAAAGCTGGATTTTAAATAACTCTTCCGGACATAAAAATAGCTATTTGCAGCAACGATTATTTTTACATATTTCTGGGGCCAACACACTTTTATTATCTATCTGTGTTTCCAAATAAGTAAAACTGTTAACTTTTTCAAATTTGTAATTGCCAATTTCTAAGTGACTAAGTTGTAAGTCAGACTTTAAGCAAGGTAAATATTTAGTTTTATTTTCGTTTACAAATTCATTTTAGCACTTTCTTCCATTGCCATAAATGCCTGTTTGAGAGCGAGTGCGGTTCGGGAAATAATGCAAACGTCTTAAGCCAGTATTTTAACTGAGTAAAAATCTTTCCTGTAATATTGATCTTTGAGCTTCTAATAACGTTTCCGAATGCTTCCCCTGTCCCACTGCATCCTCCTGACGCAATCCATTTTTTACCTCAAGCTGTTCCGTGTAATAACGTTGTAGGCGTACTTGAATTATGGTTTCTTTGAGAGTCAAGACTGCAAATGCAAAAGATATTTCTGGAATTTTCAATTCTTGCATAACTTTTATGAGAAGTTCTAAAATCGGTAAAAAGTTTATGATTCCAAATTCTCTACATTTTTCAAGGATCTTTTTTATATTGAATATTCGCTCAGTTGTAGATAAAAAAGCATGCAGTTGACTGTTCCTTTTTTCCCCATAGGTCTGACAGTGGATGGAGTGGGCGTCAAGGCCGCAGCAAGTGCAGGCGGATATCGGGGCCATCGACGGTATGGTGCACATAATCGACAGACTTTTAGGAATGCCCTATCAAAACGTCTTCTTAAAACTGCAGTCGGATCCAGATCTCAGGTAAGTTTTCCTCTTTGAAGTGAATGCCAACATGAAATTAAAATTTAGCGTCCTTCATGGAATTAAAAGCTAAAGTGCCTCTCAGCCTGTTAGCGTTCCTGACTGCCATGTCGAAAGGCCAGGGTTCGAATCCCCGAGAAAGCATGGATGCTTGTAAATATATATAGTGTCCGTGCGGCACGGGGACACACTAAATATGCGTCGAGCCGAAAGTCTTCTCGAGAGGTTCTTGAAAGGAGAAGAGGGGTGGGAGACCCTCAGACCCCCCCCCCCGGAGTGCTCTCCATCAAAATTAAGAGAGAAACTGAGCTAAATCGCACCTGTATGGTGCTCCAGGCTGTTGCCAACGACAGGTGTAAACTTACCCTTCTTACCACGAGGAATTTCGTGGGCTTGTGCTGACTATATTTCAGACAAGTGAACATTAGCAACAACAAAAAAGCTAAAGTGTGCCTGAATATGCGAATTACGCATGGCTAGTCAGGTAATTATACTTTAAGATTTTCGGTTACAGCAGCCTCCGGTCAATGCTAATGTTAATATTAATGTTATCATTCGGATATCGTTATCGAATTGCCGAAATCCCGCCCGTCTGTATACGGAAAACATATCGCTTATTGTCATCAATATTTCGGTTAATGTTATTAAATTTTTTCAGAATGAATTTTTTAAAATGAAGTATAAAATCACCAAACAAGTTCGATAGAAATTGCCGGAGATAGAAGTATGTTGGTAAATAAACTGTTAAGTCGCCAGGCAGCTTGGTTTTGATTTACCATGTGCAAAGCAGATCGTTTTATCTATTGGAATACTCGGAATATGGTAACTGAATTCTAGACGACCTTGCTTTTTCGCTCCAAAATATCTGAGAACTCTGTTTCTTTTTACTTCCTTGTACGAGGTATAGGAAGTATTGTAATCACGAAAAATTCCAGGTACCATATTTCAACAAAAATATCCATTTTGACCGCTAACGAATGCAATTTTACGATGTTTTTGCGTGGCATCGGTACGTAATGACGTAATAAAGGATTCTTTTTCTCAAAAGAATTGTAAAACTGATTTAAAAAGGATTCAGAAGATACTTTTTTCGTACCGTCTGTACGTATGTATGTATGTATCTCTCATAACGCTAAAACGAATAGCCTTAGAAGTTGAAATTCTGCATACAGGAGAGTTATAACACGTAGTTGTCCACCTCTTATTTCGGTTGCAATCGGCAGAGCCAAGCGATATGCCAGAATACATACATACGTGTATACATATATATATATATATATACGTGTATACACTAGAACAGGGCTTCTTAAACATTTTTCAATCGCGCCTCCTTTTTATCACTGAGATTTTTTTCGCGCCACAATAGAAAAAATGTACTCTTTAAAATTCACTATATTTGTTTATCATAGCGACACTCTGGCGCTAGGTTCACTTAACAGTATTATATTTCGTTCATATTACAACTCAGAATGCACAAAATTTATATCATTTGAAGAATTATCTAATCCTTGCCACATATTCTATTCAATTACTATAATAAATCTAGAACGATGTATAAAAGAAATTAAGCAAACAAAACAAAACAAAAAACAGTTTTTCACTGGCAATTCAGTTTTTTCATTCAAATAATTAAGTTCACACTTCGCGAAAAGGCAAAAATACATAAAATCTCAAAATATCTGTATTAAGAATTATGAAGTGAATCTTAAACACTTATTTCCTTGAAAAAATTCCAGAAAGGATTAAGCATGATTTAATTCGCAATAATAAAAGAAGGCATTATCTTTGTTGTTGCGAACTTTAGATTGGCAACAAATCCACTATTCTACTAAATTTCTAATGTAAACAAATATGACTGTTATAATAAACAAAAATTAGGCTTAGCTGCACCTAAACAACTTTCAAATTGTTGATAATTCTACAAATGTTGCATGCGGATTAACTAAAGACATAACACCTTTAACCGGAAGACAATAAGAACAACGTAATTCTAGACGTAAATTTCGCAAATTCCGTAAATTTTGCACCATTTTTAATCAAAAAATGCACATTTAGCAACATATAAAAATTTTTTAAAAAACTGAGCTCATGGAGCCGAGTAACAAAGTGGGTGTTTATATATATTTATATACTTTTGGTGCAGTGGATTTCAACCAAACAGGGAGGTGCACAACTACATGTTATGGCAGTCCTATATACAAAATTTCAACATTCTTAGGCTACTCATTTTTGAGTTATGCTAGATATATACAGACGTACGTACAGACGCCACGAAATACTCTCTTCAGAATTCATTTTAAATCAGTTTTATAATTTTTGGGGGGAAAAGGAGTCCTTTATTCTGTCCTTACAGATGTCATGCAAAAATATCGTTAAATTACATTCGATAGCGGTCAAAATGGATATTTTCGTTGAAACTTTTTTATCTGAAATTTTTACTTCGTAAAAGGAAGTAAAAATTTATTGAGTCGAAATTTTTCGAGTTTGCAATGTTTCCATTTTACTTCGTACAAGGATGTAAATAAGATATAAAAATAAATATCCTCCCGTAAATAATTTACGTCGCTGTCGATTTATATTTATTACTATCTCTTTTTTTTTTTATTAAGCTTATTTGATTCCTTCTTCCAGAGTTCGAAATTTAGGTTCATTCGAAATAAAATTCGTCCTTTCTTACGATTTTATTTTTTTAATTTGTGGTTTTAAATAAAGTTTATAAATTTTTCGCAAAATATTTTGAATTATGACTAAATTAAAAATTTTATGACTAATTTTAAAATGTTATCATCATCACCATAAAGTAAATGGATTTTTAGGCATACCTGCAAAAAATTAGAGTTTTGATTCAAAATTTCCTAGGATATACGTGAATTTACATATTGGTACCTTTTGAAATTTGGCATAATTGTATAAGCGATAATAACGCCAAATGTGATTTACACATTTTGTTAAAATTATTTGAAATAATGACTTTTCCCGAGTCGTGTGCAATGAAAAGGAAGGAAAACAGGTTGCTCTAAATTCGCCAAGTGAATTATCCTTGGCGCAAACTGAAAAAAATGCGTCAGAATGAATTTTTTTAATTTCTCTGTAAATTTCGCACCAAATTTGACAAAATTTACTTTAAGCCAAAATTTAAGTCGCAGAATCGAAATATGTTAAGAAATAGGCACGTTATTTCAGTAAAAGGTCGATTTTGTGATTAAAAGGCCAATCTACCTATATTAAAACAATGCTATATGTAAATTTATTATATATCTTAAGTCGCGCTTTCGAGACATGAAAAACGCAATTTGAGTTTCGTCACTCCGTTCAGTAGAACGGGAAAGATAGAGCTGTCCGTTTTCTTTTTTGCAGTGTACTTTAATTTAAATCAGTTCTCTTTCCAGTATTAGCTGGAAAAACGTAGATTTAAATAGAATTCGCGGGAAAGCTAAAAAATTACGATGCAGCTTTCTGGGGGGGGGAAGTCATTAACAATGATTTATGGCCCACTAGCGGCCGAGCGGTAACATCGCTGAACACTGGTAGTTCGGTCCGAGGTTCGAATCCCGCGAACGGGCTGGCTGCATGGGCGTTTTTGTAGTTTTCCCCATGTGTATACGAGCCCTTAGAAAGTCCTCCACGAAAGCATCCCATATTTTTGGCCATTATTCTTAAAATGGCATTTATGCGTATTTTTTTAATTTAATTTTCTTAAGTCTAAAATCTTCTATAAAGAGTTTAGAGATATGATACTGAATAAGTAAATATCTTATATATTTTAATGCTGTTACTTTCGGAAAATGCTCGACTTTTATTGCACGTTGGAATGAAATGCACATTCGTTAAATAACACATTCAGTTAGAAATATAATAAATATCTTCAGAATGCGTTCTTGTTTATTTCTTCCTGTTGTTAGTCAGGCTTGATTCTTTGTCCTGTACTTGCCCACCAGCGTCCCAGTGGTAACGTCGCTGAACACTGGTAGTTCGGTCCGAGATTCGAATCCCGCGAACGGGCTGGTTGCATGGGTGTTTTCGTGGTTTTCCCCATGTGCAACGTGTATACGAGCCAGTTTCCCTTAAAAGGTCCTCCACGAAGGCATCCCTTCCTTAAGGCAGATAGCCCTTGTTTGCTTTGCCGTACTCTAATAAACCAAACCAAAACCTTTGTCCTGTACTTAGCGGAATTTTCACTTGTCTTCAAAAAACGTATACAGGGTGTAAGAGTACAGCGGTGACAAACTTTTAGAAGAGATAGAGTGCACCTGGACGATGGAAAATCACATAGGAATGCATGCTCGGAAGAGGGCGGTAGTGACGACACAAATGTCAAGAAAGAAAGAGCACGAGCGATGTGAGAAAACATGTTCATTATTCTGAGTACAACAAAAAGAAAAAACAACATTGAGAGACAGCGATCATCATCAAAGATGATGTTCGATATTACGACCCGGACCGTGATGCAGGAACTGTACGTCATACATCTTCCATGCGCCAGAGAAGTGAGGTCTGCATTACGGTCCGAATCGTAATTATGAACACCAAATTTAACCCTTTCCGGCGCTCTACCTTTTAAAGTTGGAGTTTTGATTTAAAAAAAAAAAAAGGTAGGCAGTCTAATTAGGCCTAGAGGAGTACACAAGTCAAATTTTGTGAAGATAGAAGTTATCGTTTTAATTCTGTGGGTGTGCCCAAAGTGGGCACACTGATTGAATAGAGCTTGAAAAAGAGTGCTGAAACGAGCTTTGTTGTCAATGAACTGATCAATGAAATGCGGAGAAACAAAGAATACATACTCTCAGTTGTCCTAGATGATCGGTGAGCCAGCCCGGTCTGGGCACACCTAGGGTTCGCCGTTTGATTTTAGGCAAGATTCCAAGGTAAAAATTTAAAAGTAATATAGAACAAGGAGATTAGCATACAGCCAAAAAATAACATAGAAATTTTTTTCAAACAATTCCTTTTATACCCTAAAAACTTGGAAGATTTCTTTGAAAATGAGGATCTTAAAAAAACTAAACATGGCTAAAAATATATGGACTGGTTTGTGTTGAGCTGCCATCTACTATAAATAAAGAAGGTTCAGAGTAACCTATAAATCCTTTTTTCATTCAATTTTTCTGTGCGTACACAAGGAAAGTTTTAGGTGAGTCCAGACCGGACACACTGCGCCGCAAAGGGTTAATGACGATCGCTGTTTTTGTTCTTATTTGTAGGTTTCTTGCTGTTCTAATCATAATAAAACATGTTTTGTCTCTGCTTGTTTCCTTCCTTTTTTGCGTTTTGTGTCTTTACTGCGGCGCCAGGAGAGAGTTTTCGACCATGCATTGCTGTGTAATTTCCCATCGTGTGGGTGTACTCTGCCTCTTCTGAAAGTTTGTCAACGCTTTACTGATACACCTTGTACACATATACAATTATGCGGTACGAGTTAGCAGATAAATTGGCAAAGGCTGCCACTGAAAATCAAATTATTGGTTTTGAAGTAAAAACTTCCTTTAACAGTTTGAAATCTTTGTTGAAAAGAAAAGGTTTGACTCTTTGGCAAGCAACGTGGAACGAACGAAATTCTAAAGGAAGATTCACATATAATTTAATCTCAACTGTAAGTGAGAGAAGATGCCTTAAACAAGCTTTAACTAAGCAATGACATTTCCCATTTTATTATCATAGGTTTTCGATTAAAAATTGTGCCTGGCCTTATACATTGATTGTGCTTAAAAATTTCTCTGTCTATTTTAAGAAAACCTAGGGTGTTTATGATATATTATTTTATTTCTTTGTATATGTAAGTAACGTGTTATATTTTGTTTTACAAAGTATGTAATAATGTGTTATTTGTTTGTGTAGATGAAAAATCTCATCAGCTTCTAGACTTTAAGTTCATATTTTAGCTGTATGCATATGGGCCCGATTTTGGCCTTGTTTTAGATTTCAGCTTTTCATTAATTAACTAACACCACTAAGCCCTATTAAGCCTCTAATGGCGGTACAGGAAGTTCAATCAGTCATGCAATTATCCAGAGCTTAAATTGCGCCAGAGCCCACCGATACTTGTTAGATTTTGAGACAAATCGTAATTCTAGCCGGAGCGCACTGGAGCCCTAAGTGAAAGGGCTCCAGTACTTCTTTTATGTAAGTGAAGCACAGTTTCAGCTAATAAATTTTATTTCAAAAATAAATATACCTCTAAAATCGATTAATTCCCCCAAATCCATGCCTGTCTTTGTCTCGGAAACAAAGATTTTGATGGAGGTTAAGATGTTTAAGGAAAGAAAGGCCCCCATCTCCATGCCAAAAGCTTATTCTCCAGGTAGTGCAATAAATTTATGAAAGCGGTAAAATGTTTTACTCCCGGAAGTATTAGCATATATTACCTTGGTCTTCCACGTCCAGTGCTCTCGCTTCAGAGCTCTTGCAGACTTGAAATATGTAACCAGATATGGAGGACAAAAATTGCCACTTATGCAGACCTTGCACCTTTTTCGGATGTTGTCATCGGATCGGATTTGGGGGGAAAATTTTTTGTCCAGTCGCCTTCTTCATGAACTAGAATTCTATCGCCAGAGCATCGCGGTCAGTAAGCGCCGAACTTTCGAAGCTACAATTCTCCATTAAAATTTCATTCCATACTCTCATATAGTTTCTAGCATTCTCTTCGTAAGGATTATGTTAATTTTATTAACAGTTAAATTTTGAGTTAAAATCCTTTCCCGTCAAATTTTTAACTTCAACTTACTACATCCGACCAGAACGTAGTTATAGAATCACGTCTGAATACATAATGAGGAAAAGCAGTATTTAACCCGCGAAGTTCTACTTGCTGAGTTAGAGAGAATCAGAGTTTCTGATTAGCGCGCGCCTGCCTTTTTGGCTATTTCAATGTTAATTTCAATCTAATTACTTTAATTATTACCCCAGAAGGGCTATTAATTCAGAAGGGCTATATAATCTTCATAAATGTATGTTTCTCGCATAATGATAAAACATTGGTACCCTGAGCGATCCAGTTTTAAATAACATAATCCCCCACCGAGTATGGGCATCTGAAAGCCCTAATTTGAAATTGTTTTATTATCCATTATTTCATATTTTGTCACATATTAAAGAATTTTTGATTAACAAACTGAACGATTTCGAAGCGAGCAATGTACGAGGGGAAGACATTTTTATCTCCAGTACGCGATATTGTGTATCGGAAATTTTAAAGATAAGTTCATTGGTTTAAGTGCGAAGAACATTATATTTAATAAATAAAGGTAACAAACAAAACGTTGAAAAACGCCCCTTTTATAATAAAATAATATTAAACTTGAAAGCTTTCAGAACTTTTTGTAAATTTTTTCAAATGTAATTTTTTTTTTTTTTTTTTTTTTTTTTTTTTTTTTAGGATTACTTATGAGCTGAGTGAGCAAGACGGTTGGGGTCAAATTCTGAGTGGCAACGACAAACGATTTACATTCTTTGCTCCAAGTGATGATGCATGGATGCAGCTTAAAAGAAATATGCCCACAGTATACAAGCAACTTACCATGAAAGCTTTTCCCTATCATACCAAAAAGGTACATTCAGTTTAACAATCCTTTTTCCCAGTTATGCTGGTATTTTCCTCTAGAAACCTGCATTTCTTTTCAGACATTTTTCCTGGACAACAACAACAACAAAAAAATAATAAATAAGAGAGTCAAATTCTTTGAAACTTCAAAATCGTAAAAACAACCTTGTATTTAGCGTAAGTATATTGAAACACTCAATCGATTTCGAAGGCAGCTAAAGGTTCCTCCTCATTAGGAGAAAGAAATACCTAGAAAGAAGATAAATAAAGGGGAAGGAGTCTCAGAAACACGTGGTCCTTATCAGCACTGCACGTGGTTATAACCGGATTTTTAATCAGAGTTACACTGGCCGCCTACTTTTACTGAGCCAGGCTATCTGATCGAACATGTAACACAAAGGACAAGAAAAATTAGCGAAGTTAAAAATAGGGAGCGAGGGGCAACTGCACCTTCACGCTCCAAATCTGAACTTCGAATAATGGAAAGCAACCATTGAACGGATTTTTATACCCTCTGGTAGTACCAAACGCGTGGAGATGACGCCATCTCTCGGCAAAAAAAAAAACTAAATTAAGATAGAATTTTAAAAGTATTAGGAAGGACTGGATTGGACTTCAAATCATTAACTAAACATGTTAAGTCTTTGTGAATATGAAAAGCCTCAAGAAAATCCAATTCACCTATGGAAGAAGCCTTTTGGATAATTTTGCAGACCCAAAGTCAAAATTATGGTTAAATGTCCAACTATGATACGCTATTGAAGACTTGTTAATTTCGCCTTTTCTAACATAAGATTCATGTTACTTGATACGAAACTTCAACGCTCTTTTTGTTTGGCCAATATATCTTAAACCACACTGACACGATATACTATAAATTCCCCAAGAATTCAAGACAGAAACGCAATCTTTTAGAATCGAAGGGTGAATTTTATTAATAGGGAAGAAAAAAAGAAACCGACTTGAAAATTGAATTTCTGGAGAATCCGTGCAATTTTATAGCTAACAGAAGGATAAAATGGAAGCACAACAAGGTCATTAATATTATTTCTAACAGTGGAATGTCTTCTTTGATGGGAATCTGATTTTTTAACGGCTTTGTCAATAATCACGGGACAAAATCCACGGTCAATCGCAACTGCTCTCAAATAAACAAGGTCATTGGTAAGCAAAGATTTAGAGGAACAAACTTTAAGCGCGCGGAATACATAATAGTAAAAAGAAGCCATTTTTTGCTTAAGAGGCATGGGGTGGTAAACAAACTGCAAAGGGTTTACGGTACACAGTAGTGCTAAAATCAGTTTCATTGCGGATTATAAGAATATCAAGGAAGGGGAGGGAATTGTTGGATTCAATTTCAAGAGTGAATTGGAATTCACGGACCTCTGGAATACGCGCCCAGCGCGCAGACCACCACACCATGAAGGCATGCCAAGAAGGCGGGAGAAATAACTTATATTTTTTTAATTCCTTTTAACAAAACTAATTTCTTTTTAGTCTTTTGAACTCTATTATTATTTCATAACGGAATATTACTAAAGTTTGTATTCAAAGGGAAGTTTCGAAGAATGATTTTTCTTTATTTGCTTGCCCCAATTAAAAATAAACATGAAACAAAATTGCGGGCGGGTAACATCTTTTGTCAACTCTCGTATCGAAAGATTCTGCAAGGTCAAATAATTTTAGTAGACAAATAATTTTATTATTTTCCCAGCTTAATTTCAGAAGTGGAAGAAAAATGTCCCAAAGAGAATAGACACTTTTGAACAGACTAGGAGCCACTGACGTGGCACAATTGGAGTAGCTTTGAAATTCTATTCAAAAGCAAGAATCGGTTCAGATCAGAACAATTAAGGTTATTTCATGTATTGAGTCATAAAAAGTCTCCGCGGTTTTTTGCTACTGGATCGTGTTGATGCTTATGTATTCGGCAACACTCAATGCAATTTTCTCAAACGAACATGTGCTTAAAAGGTGACATTCAGCTTCTATTATTTGTGAAGATATTTTCCTAGTTCCTTGTTTGCGTAAAAAGGTATATTGATTCGAAAATGGTGAAATATCTGAAGAAATACGCTATGTGATGCTTTTTTAATATAAAAAATGTAAAAACACTGCACAACGTGCCCAAAAATTTGTGAAATGTGCCGTGAGAATACTGTGAGGGAATTAAGGACCCAGGAGTAGTTCGCTTATTTCCGATATCAGAGATGCCCTCGCTCTGGTCGGCCAATCATTTAAAACGTTTATTAAATTTTGAAAATGGTGGAGCAAGACCTGCACGGAAGCTGTCAGGAAATAGCGAAGGCACTAAACGTCAACTACATGATAGTCTGAAATCATTTGAAAAGAGCAGGCTACAAAATGTAGCTCGATGTTTGTGCCTCATGACTTGGTACCCTGTATTGTGCAAAACTCGACTGTTTGAACGAAGCAGTCCAGAAAGAGCAAATAGAGTTGGCCGGTAGAAAGGGAATTCCAAAAAATTGGTCGACAGAATGAAATTTACTTGGCCAAGTTTTTCAACGATAAACTACAGAAGTTCTACACCGATGAAATTATGAAGCTACCCTAAAAATGGCAAAAGGTCATGGATAATAATGGTCAGTATGTACTTGATTAAAATTGATTTTCAATAAAGAGATAATTTTTGTTTAAAAATACACCAAAAAACCTCGAAACTCTGTGCTTATGCTCTTTTCAACCGTCTACTGTTCCAAGATATATTTAATAGAGACAAATTAAGCAACCAAGCATTCTGGTTGAATCTGCAGGCAGGCCTTAATTAAAAAGTAATAAATAGTTGCGAAATATATTAAATCAGAGTCCTATAGACCTTACCAGGCAGGCAAGCGAGTTAATAATGCAGTCTCTGAATTAATAATGCAAAATCCAAAGAAAGGCCTTTTTATTAACTCTGTAGAATTAACAGAAGGCTACAGTTGTGAGTACAATTAACTTGTTATGCTCTTCCCAACTCTGACGTCACTTACTTACAGTAGTGGAAGAAAATGCCACAAAGAGCAGAGCCGTTCCTAGCGCATGTGCAGCGCGTAAAAGTACGCGAGCAGCAAAAATCAGGGGAGGCCGAACTCTCGCTATACGCCTAAATATTTTAAAATGCGAGGATTTAAAATCAGATAAGCTGGAATTCAAATTCGAAGTAACGTAATTAGGGCCTGCATAAAATGGTCTGCTTAAGCTGCCTGAAATGCTTCAATGGCATGTTTAAAACGTCGCTTAGCAAAATGACAAAAGCTGAAATGAGCATTGGCGCGGCTGGGTGATCAAATGCAAACTGCGGGAGAGGCTGCCAAAAGCTTTAATACTAAAGCATTCAGAACCGTCGAATTAAATACTCAAACAGTACTCAATACAATTTCCATTTTGGTGAGGAGAAGGTGAACGGAAAGACAACGAAAAGGAGAAGTTGTAATAAAGGTTTCGATCATGTATTTGATACATTAGCATGAAATACCTCAAATAACCATTCAAGATTATTCGCTAAAAATAAAAAAATTACATCTTAATCACGGAGTCCTCCTTTTTAATTAAAATTCTTGTCAAGTTGTAGAGACATTAGGTATTTTGGAAGCAGGCAAGATGAAAAATGAACAATCGTCTACGCCGGGAATCGAACCGCGGACCTCTGGAATACGCGCCCAGCGTGCAGACCACAACACCAGGGAGAAATACCTTATATATTCCCCCGTTTGAAGGATGACTGGGTTTTTAGGGGACCCAATCGCCAAATTTTGGGTGAGGAGAATCATCATCCAACACCCTTTTAGTTCGGACGCCACTGTAGAGATATTAGGTATTTTGGAAGCAGGCAAGATGGAAAATGAGAAATCGCCTTTGGCGGGAATCAAACCACAGACCTCTGAAATACCGGTTCAGTGTGCTGACAACTACATCACGAAGGCACGCCAAGAAAGTGGGAGAAATACTTTATAAAATGAGCGGAAGTTTATTGTAATGAAGTTATTGCGTTGTATATCTCAAAATACTACCTTGTATATCTCAAAGAAAAGGCATTCATTAATGCTTCTTATAAACATGAATAAATAATTATTATCATTTATTCATACTTACTCCCTTTTTGTAATACTTAAACATGTATGTATTTTGACAGATTTTGGATCGTCATCTCGTGGTTAATCGTGAGCTTCGTTTGTCTGACCTTGAAAGAATAAACGAGATACAGATGGTCCACGGTCGTTTTAAGGTTATCCACCTCGACCATCCGGGCGGTAAGTTTCCCAAAATTATATTTGCATAACATCGCTGAAATAAGTTTCAATAGCATAGTTTGCAACTTTGCATTGGAATAACAAGGATGGAAGTAAATAAATTTAGCACAAATTATGAAATAGTTAATTATGTAATTGTTTAATGAATAATTACGGTATTTTGTTACATGTGACAGAAATACGGACATCATTGTGCTTGTGTCAAAGCAGTGCCTTCTGCAATCGATTTGTATTTATTTTACTGATAATTATTTATTTTACTGTATTATTTCACTGATAATTAATATGCATCATTGCATTTCTGAATGATAAATCATAATAATTTCAGAGTTAGCTTTGATAACTTACTTAATGTGTCTCACAAGCAGTATTATTCAGTAGGCTATGCGACCTTGGAGAAGGTAATATGCACACTGCGGGGGGGTAAGAGGGGGACAGTTCTATATTTTCCGTTCTACTGGGTCGATTGACGAAATTAAACTTGTTTTTCATGTCTCGAAAGCGCGACTTAGGATATTTATTAGATTTATATATAGCATTGTTATAATTAAGTATTTTGACACAAAATCGGACCTTTTTTAATGACATGCCACTTTTTTGCCATATTTCGATTCTACGACTCAAATTATGCCAAACTTCCAAGTTTTTGTAAAAATCGCAAGGGGAGTTTTTAAAAAATTACCCCTCAAAATTTTAGCTCCTCAATATTAATTGAATTTGATATATATTTATTAATATCTCTTTTTTATTAAACTTATTTGATTGTTCCTTTCATATTTTGAAATTTAGATTCATTCCAAATAAAATCGCCCATTATTTATGATTTATTTTTAAAATTTGTAATTTAAAATAATTTGTATAAATTTTTCAAAACACATTTTGAATTATAACCCGTAAAATGCTTGCCATCATCTTAAAGTAGATGCATTTTTAAGCATACATGCAAAAAATTAGCGTTTTTTTTTATTCAAAATTTCCTAACATATACGTAAATTTACATTTCGGCGCTATGTAAGTGATAATAACGAAAATGTGGTTTACGCACTTTATTAAAATCATTTGAAAGTATGAACAATTACTTTTTTCCGCTTGTAGGCAATAAAAGAAAGGGAAGGAAAATAGGTTGCTATAAAATAAGTTCGCCGAGTGAATTATTCTTGCCTTAATATGAAAAAAAAATGTGCCAAGATTAATTTTTTAATTTCTTCATACATTTCACACCGAAAATAACAAAATTTAATATCCAGACATAATTTGAATCGTTGAATCGAAATATGGAAAAACATTGGTATGTTATAGGAAAAGTCCGATTTTGTGTCAAAATACCTATGTTATAATAATTTGGAAAAAATAAATATAATATGTATCCTAAGTCGGGCTTTCGAGACATGAAAAAACGCAATTTGAATTTCGTCAATCGGTCTAGTAGAACAAGAGATATAGAATTGTCCCATTTCGCTTTTTTTTCGCAGTGTACACTTTGGGACCATTATTGCCGAATAAAAGGAAGCTTAGTAATTTTCGATTTTAAAACAATAAAATATCTTTAACGAATCAATAAAATTATTTGTTAGTAAACTTCACTCCAGAATTCTTGTATACATCTTTAACAGTTTGATTTGCTTGAGCAACTTAATTTATGATGAAAATATTGAACTTAAATTAACAGTAAGACAAAGGTATTTTCGGGAAATTTCCTCGAATAAAGTTTCCACTTGAAAAATAAATATTAGAGGTAAGAAAACATTCGATAGAAACTAATAGATAATTATATTATTAAATATTTGTTGGTGAATCTCGCTTATTCATCTTAACGGAAGCTATGTTACCTGGAAATACCTGGAAGACATTCAGACCTGCGAATATGTTAATTATGTTATTTAATTATTTATGAGTAATTAAACCGTAGTATTGAAAAGTCGCTTCGTGCCTTATGTGAAAATTATTTGAAGCGCTTAGCATTCTGATAGCGTCACCTCTCAAGAAGTTAATTTTATCGTTGTGCGAAATGAGTGCAAACTTCTTTCCAAATTAAACAAATAATACATTTGATTTATCTCATGTGTATGAGATATATATTATTGAAGTGTGTACTCATGTATCTCACATTCCCCTGGAGCGCTTAATATACTAGCTGAGATCTGTATCTTGACATTCTCGGTTGTGGGGTTTAAAATGCCCTAGACCGGTTCTTAACACCTATCGAAGTGGATAAGTGACAGCTTGCCGTTCAAACACCGATTCCTACAACCGGCTCACCTTTCGAAGTGTGTATGAGAGAGGAATTTCACCATTTTGGAATAGAGGTGTCCGTAAGAGTGACAAATGAGACTCAAAGAATCCCTCTGGCAACTCTGTACGCGCACTTCTCTTTCCTAATATGGAGCTATATGGTGAGCTGTGTAGTGCGATTAAGGAAGAACCGCGGAACAGGTATGCAATGTATTACATTCTTACGCAGGAAGAAGGTTATTCTAAGAGGCATTCCATTATTATTACTTGTATTTTCTAGCTTCAATACGATTTTCCAAAAGTATCAGAGGATGTGCGTGAAAGAGCGTTCGAAATCTGAAAATATGAAAATCCGTGTGTTGGATTGTTGCGTTTCTACGGGTTCGTGAATTTGGAGTGACTGACGACAACACTTGGTGACGAATAAAAAGCAATTTATTAGACAGTATAACTCAGGAGAGTTCCAAAAACACGTTTACAGTCGTCGAAAAAGTACGAGAAACATGCTTAAACAATTAGTGACATAGCCTTCTCGCTATCAGGCTATAACGGTGAAGACAGCTTCACGGCAAAACACTAAATATAGCTCCCGACTCAGTCGATCTCTCTCGGTGATCAACGTACTCTCGATGCACTCGACGATGTACTAACTCGCGATACACTACTCCGCATACAGGCAGGGTTTATATAGCTTTTAGTCTGCCTTCGAGAACATTCTGTGGTAAACCTTTAAGAATTCATTCCAGAATGTTCTTTCTTCGACCATGCATATCGCCGATTTTTCGCCAAATGATCGATTTCGCACCGAATTTGGCAACCCTACCTTTCCTTGCCATTTTCTGACGACCCATAACCCGCTTTGCGGAGAAGCTATCCTACCGCAGCTGGGCTTTTCGTAACAATATGCACAAAGTCTCTCTTCAGATTACCCTTCAGAGGGAATAGAAACCTATTTTTACGAATAAAAGGAATAAATTTATTATACTGTAACATTTCTTTCGTTTTAAATTATTAATACCTTTTTGAATTAGATAATAAAAGTAGTCTAACCGTAGATGTTACGCTCTGTCACACAAAACGTAACTATCAGCGTTCTCAGCTTCGTAATCTCCCGCTTTACAAGTAACTATAAAATTAATTTTATTTCGTAATTCAGGATTCTGGAGCTGGTAAACTGATGGATGTATTTCGATGTTTTTTCTTTTATATACACTAAACAGCCAAAACATTATGACTACCTACACAGTAAGGCGTTGTGCGATCTTTGGCCTGCAAGAGAGCTGTCCTAACTCTCCTAAGCATGGGTGGTTCTGGTAGATGACTGGAGACAGGCTCTACCAAATATCTAACAAGCTGCCATGCCAAGGAATTTTGACATAGTGATGTTTGAGCTCTGAGCTGCTATGACATCCCAATTGTGCTCTAATGGTTTAAGATCTGGGAAGACAGGTGGTGTGACGAATTCGAAGACAAGAGTTGGTGTAAATAAATTTATTTAGTTTCTTTCTAGGCTATAGGCAATATAGTATATATATATATATATATATAATTATTTCAAATGCGTAGATGAAAGCAGTGGACCTCCCAACATCTTACGATACTGCGTAGATGACCGAGAAGACCGTAGTGGCTTGAAGGTGGCAGAGTGGAAAGCATGATGACGCAATTTAGCCTAACATATCTTGAAAAATCGCAATCTTTATTTTTTTTCACGCATATCAAATCATCCTTTTTCAGACAAGATGTTTCCTAATTATATTTGAATGCATAAATTGCAGTTTGAATTATAACGTCATCTTAAGTAAGTAAGCAGCAGCAGCATGGTTTAAAAACGTCTTGCCAGCAGGAAAGCTATGCGGTAAAAAGGGAAAGGTTACAGTACTTTCATAGGAAGAAGGCTGGGAGTGGGAAAATTTCAGTTCAGAGTTTTGGTTTAGAATTAATTTAATTGGACAAGAGGTATCTGCATTAAAACGTTACGTAAGATAGAAAACTCTGAAACCTGTGAGAAGAGATGAATTTAGGGGTAGATCATCAAATTTAGAATGTTAATTTTGAGGTCATGAATTATATTTTGAAACAGCTATCATATTTTGTTGTATCTTACATATCCTCCCTTCAAAAGAAAGGTTGTGTGAGCAGAGTGGAAGAAAAAGCATTAGAGCTGCAAAATGTTAGTTATAATTGAGAAAATACAAAACATATTTACTTTTTTTTAAACAAAACGTTATTGCCATAAAACCGATATTTTACCATAAAACCGATATATTGACCGATATTTTGACATTTCATTGAAAGTCAAAAAGTTTTGAATTGAATTATGAATTTTAGCACCGTTTTATTTTTAAACAATAGCATATTTTAGAGTTCTGAGGTAAGAATGTCAATGAAATTTTGTAAAGTTCTTGAAATTTCCACACAGTAAAAGTTCAAATATTTACACAAAGTAAATGCTCAAATAAAAGCGTTTCCAATTTTTGTTGATGAAAATATTTCTATTATAATACAATTTAAGATGCCAACTTTCATGTTATTTAATTATGTTTTTTAGGGTTATTTAATTATGTTTATTTAGGCATTTTAAAATATAAAAATTTTGTAAAACATCATTCATAAACACAATTTCAAATTTTTCACTATTATTAAGACATTTAAAACTTACTTACTCTTTACTAAACTTAAAAACTCCACAACTTTATCTAAATACTAGCATTTCCATCATATTGGTTTATCATTTGAGCAAACTGGTGTTTAATATTCTTCACCAGTGGCCAAAAGATTTGCCAAATTAGCAGTT